CAAACTTCTCCACACAGACAAGGAGTCGTTGGCCAACACCTGGTCCCTCAGCTTTTGAGAGTAGATCTTCTTCGCTGCTTTGATCTCCCTTGTCAGTGTGTTCCTGGCCTGGCTGTACAGAGTCCTGTCCCCACTTCTTTAGACCTCCTCTTTGGCATGATGACGCTGCTCAAGTCTTACTGTGAACCAGGGCCTGTTGTTGTTGTTGTATGTGCAGAAGGATTTATTGGGCACACGCACATCCTCAAAAAAGCTGATGTAAGATGTCAGTGTCAGTGAGTTCATCCAGGTCTGTAGCTGCAGCCTCAAATACACTCCAGTCTGTGTATTCGAAGCAGCCCTGTAGCTCTGACTTAGCCTCCCCAGTCCAGCTCTTCACTGTTTTGACCACAGGCTTCACATCTTTAAATTTCTGCCTTTATGTTGGAATAAGATGGACCATACAGTGATCAGAGAGTCCGAGGGCTGCTTGGGGAACAACGATAGGCATCTTTTATTGTTGTGTAGCAGTGGTCTAGTGTGATTTTTGTCCCTGGTGGGACAGGTAATTTGCTGCCTGTATTTGGGCAGTTCTTGAGTTGAGATTTGCTCTGTAAAATTCCCTCAGAACAATGGGTGGAGAGTCAGGATGTTCCAGTTCTACACTAGTTATCATTTCAGCCAGGAGCTGTAGTGCGCTGGCATTGGCGTTCGGTTTTAAATGGACAGCGACCAGGATGAAGCTCAAAAATTCTCGGGGAGGATAGAAGGGTTTGCAATCGATAAAAAGAGTCTCTGAGTCCGTGTTACATGTCCTCTGTAGCACTGTGACATCTGTGCACCAACCTTCATTTATGTAGAGACAGATTCCACCTCCCCTCGTCTTCCCGGACAACTCTGTTAACGCAATCCGCTCTGTACACCTGGAAGCCCAGTACTTGGATAGCGCTGTCTTCTATGGAGTCGCTGAACCAAGTCTCTGTGAAGCATAAGGCAGCAGAGCGTGCAAAGTCAGGGTTAGTCCTGTTGACGAGAAGGATTTCATCCATCTTGTTGAATAGGGAGCGAAGATTTGCTAGGTGGATAGATGCGAGTGGGGTCCGGGTTCCTCTCTTGTGAAGCCTGACTAAGGTGCCTGCTCACTTGCGTCACCGGCATTTTTTCCAGGTCCCGTACATGGCAGCTGCGCCTCCAATCTGAATGTCCATACAGCATTCTTCGTTCACAAAAATCAGAGAAAGGTAGTTCGGTGTGAGTTGTTCGATATTTAACAGTTTTTCTCTGGTAAAAGTAATCCGGAATGGTTTGCAAGAGACAGAGAAAACAAAGAAAAATAACAAATACAAGAGTGATCGTGTAACCAAAGTTGCCATCGTTGTCGGTACCATCTTGATTGTTGTACTGTAGAGCTAAGCTAGTGCAGTGAGACATCTTGCGTGAGAGAACTGTTAGATTTAAGTGTCTCATGAGGGGAGGGGGGCTAATAACTAAATTTTAAAACATCAAACCTAATAATATAGTGTCAGGCCATCACACAAAAGTGCACAATCAATTTGAATAATTGAAGATTAACTGAAACAGTGGTAAAATTTGTAGTAGCAGTAGCAACAATGTGGCAGAAACTGTGGGACACTTTCATGCCCTTCACATAATGTCATCACCTTAAGCCAAGATCAACCCAGGCTTAATAGCCTGTACACCTCTATTTCTAAATAATTGCATCCTCCTAATAGATGTGAGGGAAATGCTGGTTATGGTTGTTTTTGAAAAGAAAGTGCCACATGATGCTGTTGCTGGTTTAAATTGTTTAAGCTTGATATTCAGTTGTTCTGTAAGATCCTTGAATAACCCTTTCACAAGTTCCCACCATATTTTTGGGCAGTGTAGGATAAAACTTGACTGATGTTGCCCAAGTGTCTTCACCTCATAATGATATTGAAGTCTGGACCGATGAAAATCTTACATGACTTTGACAGTAGACAGAGTGACAAGCTGATGTTAATTCAAGATGGGAACTTTTACACAGCATCTAGTTAGTTTCTGAGATGGTGATCAAATATATTAAGCATTATTTATGTAAAAGGCTGTATTTCATTAATTGTTACCACTTCTTGTGTAAATAGACTTTCATGTGTCATTATGGTTGATCTTTAGCTATAGCTTATCACTATGTGGCCCTTATCTCTGTGAAGAGTCTAATTCCTACTGGCACATTAAGGCTGGTGGTGTGCTGCAAGTTAATTGGAATTTCTCTCACTTGTTCTGGACACAGTGTTTGGATGAGCCTCCCTGTAATCCCCTCGACCAGTACTTGGCTGCTCCTGCTTTAGAAGAAATGAAGACAGTGCTTCTCGCCATGGAAATGTGCACAGACATTTTGATGCTATATTCATTTAGGCTTTTCAAAAGATGTGTCCAGTTCTGCTCCCTCACGCCTTTTCCTCTCTCTAACCCTCCACCCCCGCTATGCCGGCTCTGATCGATCCAACCATGTCTCCTGGTCCCACATGTCATCTTTTTTTTCTTTGACACAGCGCTTCTCTCCCCACTGCTTGGTATTCTGGAGTGGGAATGCATGCACCATCGCAGATCCATCAGCTCCGATTGGAATGCTGCACCACGGCTTGGGGAAATGGAGGGATGAGGAGAGAGAGGTGGAGAGAGAAAGAGAGAAAAAGGGGCAGGGAAGGAGAGAAATAGGGCAGGTCAATGGCTTGTTGACATCCTTTCGGGACCAAAGCCTTAGGCTGATGGGGAGAAAGAAACGGTAGAGGTAGGAGAATGGGAGCGAATGAGAGTAAAAGTAAGAAAAAGAGTGGTTTTATGCCTGAGGGGCTGCTTTGTTAATATCCATTTTCTTTCAATTCAGCCTCTGAATATTCAAGGAGCATAAAAGTTCTTAAGTTCAATTTCCTTTAGTGTTCGAAGTATTCAGTAAGCAGTATGCCCACTTGTATCCCAAATAGAGTTTTGGAGTCTGGGAAATTAAAACTGCTCTCATATTTTAAATTCAGTTTGGGTAATACGTATGTCAGAGTACTGCACAGGTCCAATTTGGAAAACCCACACCCCCAAAGCTCTGTACTGCCCAAGACCCGTTATCTGAACCCAACTAACTAACTTAAGACCCGCCAACTGACTCGCACCCGTAATTAAAATAGACTTTATGCTACACAGTCACTTACTGTGCTTGAAAGTTGTGTTCTTGGAAAAATATGTGTTGATGGACTCAGCTGTTTTTTAGTGAGGAAGCGCCTATCTTGCGGCTATCAAATGCTAACACTTTTTGGCACTATTTACAAGCAGCAAAGCCACTGATAATGTTGATTTCACAGTCTGTAATCACACCAAATTTCTCCCATATTTCGGACTTGGCCTTCGATGGTGTATTATCCATATTCACAGCTAGCTCTTTTCACTTTTAGGTTATCCAGTTGCATTGATGTCTAAGTAACTCCCTGTTAGCTAGATGAGTCTTGAGGTCAAAGGTTTTGCCATAGGCCTTCACAATCAATGTACTGGGTTTTTTAGGTTTGAGAAAATGATGCTGGATTGGATGTTTAAAAGAAGCTGCACCTTCATTTTCTTAAGGTTGTTTATTTCACTTGTTACCTGCCCACATTTAGCCTGTTTTTAGTACAGCACAGGTACACTCTCCTTTTAGCTCTGCTTTTGGTCTCCACCAGCTCCTGAGAAAAATATGTAGCTCTTTAGCTGCCAAATGCTCCACATTGTTCACCAGCTAGTCACTAAACTGCTGCCTGCCTCCCACTTGTTGCTGGGCAGCTAGTGTACCACGAGGTTACCGTAGCCTTTTTGTTAAATGGCCACCTGCTGCATCTGGAAACAAGACTGACTGAGAGCAGGAATTCTAGATAAAAACTGTGAGCTGCACGGCATAAAATCATAACAGTGAAGGATATTAAATACTTTTACATAGCACTAGTGGGAACTACAGTCGTGGGTACATTCATTAAAAAACAGATAATTTTGTAAATAAACTATGGAATTAATAACTTGTGATTTGAATGTGACACCACAGATGTACCGGTACTGTATTTTTTCCATTTCTGAAGTAGAGGCTGAAAATACAACTCTACATAGATGGTATCTTCATGTAGCACAGTCCCCATACAGCTTATCACACATTCCTCTGTAATGTATACAGTTTTATCTTCAGCTCACCTTTCACTCGCTCATCATCCCATCCTTCTCCTATCAGAGTGGAGAGAGACAGACAAATGCAGATCAATTCGATGTTTTTCTTATGGCTCTTGTTCTTTTGTGCTCTCACTCTCCAAAGCCTCCCCATCCTCTCTGTGTGTTCTCCCCCATGGCTTTCCTCTACAGCAGCGCGTTGCCTTGGTAATTACCAGTTGTCTTAAACAGACAGATGGAATAAGAGAGAGTGACGGGCAATTTTCCCAGTGCCTGTTTTGCCCGTGTATGTGCACCCAACTCCTTTTTGCGTGTGTGTTCTATATGCACACTTCTTTACTTCTCTCCATCTCTTTTAGGCTTCCTACTTGCTCCTCTTCCTCCCTCTCTTCCTGTGAGTTTGCATTTGTGCACGGCTGATGCGTGTTTGTGCGAGAAAGTGTGTGTGTGTGTGTGTGTGTGTGTGTGTGTGTGTGTGTGTGTGTGTGTGTGAGAAGGATGTGGGGAATTACCTGACAGAATGTGTTAGTCCAGGATGTGGAGTGAGACAGTTCCATCTCCTGCTGTTGTGTTGACCATTTCAGATGCCAGATATCACTCTGGCCCTCTTCAGGGACCAGGAGGGATCACTGCTGTCCCCTCCTCTTCTCTTTTATCCCAGCATGACCCTAATATAGCAGTGGATCGAAGCAATTGGTTATTTCTTTCTTTAAACTGTCAGGGCAAGAGAGGAAGCAAAGGGTAGACGAAGAAGAGAGTTAGAGGCAAACAAGGGAGGAGCAAAAGTTGGGTGTTATGTGGTTATGAATGAACATGATGCCAGGGTTCACCTATGCTAATTAATTTTCCACACTCTCTTTCAGGCTGGGATGATCAAGACGGAGCAAGAGGAGTTTTTTATTGAGCCAGTGGAGAGGGGCGATGGAGTGATAGAAGAGGAGGAAGAGGGAGGAGGAGGCAGGACACACATCGTCTATCGCTCTTCAGCCGTAAAGAAAGTGCCCATCAGCAGCACGGCAGCAGACTACCACTCCAGAGGTCAGTCTGTGCCGTTAAACACCCTTCTCTGGATTCTTCTCATCCACACTTCAGCACTGCACTCTCCTGGACTCCATTTTCTTTAACTAGTCACATTGGGGAATTATTTAATGACACTGAGAGCAGGCTAAGACACCGATCATGCAGCTAAAAAGCTTTTAACATATATTTTTTTCAAGTATTACAGATGTGGCTTTTTGCTTTTTCTTTTTTTTTTCACTTTTCCACAGTATATCCTGAAACAGTGCACAACACTGCAGATTTTTCAGCTCTTTTACAGATTGTACATGGGTATCTTAAACCATTATTCCCTCATACACATCTGATTATATATAAATACACTGAGTGTGACAGTATGAGCATACTCCTCTGTCGAAAAGATTACACTTACACACACTCAAATGCATCGTCCTGTCACTGCACTGATCTTCCAGAGAGAAAGAAGTGACATATGGAGACGTGTTTGACTGGTACAGTAAGATGGTATCTTCCCTATCTTTTACAGAATTATTCACTGCCTCAGTTGCCTTAACAATTAACAACTGGCACTCAATTCTTTGGTTTCTCATTGTGCCTGCCTCCGTTTTCCATTCTACAGATGAAATAAACGAACTCAATCAACAAGAATCCATTACTTTAGAGAAAGCATAATGCTGGATATATAACATATCATCCCTGGGATCATAGAGAAGGAAGACAAATACTTATTCAAACGCGTTTAATACTGAAGGTCTGAAATTGATAACACAAGCAAAAGAACGTTCTCAGTTTAAAAAAATTGTCTGTTCATCTATTTTATTTTGTTATTCCCTAATCTTATTTCTTTAAAATTAAAGGAGAAAAGACATTAATTTGGTCTTTGATGCTGTAAAATGAGGTTATTAACTGTCTTTCAGATGATGTCACATGACATGATAAAATACACATGGAGTTAAATCAGATTAATCAAATGAATTTAGCTAAATCTTTTAGGTGAATACAAAACAACCTTGGATCAATTGGGGAACTGGGAATATGTACAGTATATATTATTTTCATAAGCCAAATGGACACGAAGCACCAACATTTCCACTCTAATGTGTCACCTTAAAAAGTACTTTGATACCCCTCTCCTTGAGTAACTCTCTACATTATGTACATGTTAAAAAAGGTACAGTTTTCAATCTTTTATTAATCTAAAGCCTGTGTGGAACATTTATCGCATGAACTGTGGAAGAGCTACATCATACGATACACATATGATGCACTGCAGCACCTGCACGCTAGTAGAGCTTATGCTTGCACCTAGTGTGATACTTTGTTTCTCTCAAACTCTTCTCAAAATTATATTAATATAGTGCATTTAGAAATTTGCATTGATTTGTGATATTACTACCCGTGTCCATATACCTGTAGACCTTCAGTATCTACTTTAAGTCTTGCATATCAGATGTTGCTTTAATTCTTTAAATAATTCCATTAATATCAAGGATCTGTGTATGCAGTGAAAAAGATTTCCAGAAAATAAGGTATTCACTAGTGTCAGCTGTGCTGTCAGGTTTAAGAGCTTGGCTTGCTGCAAAAAAAAAAAAAAAAAAATTTACTGCAATGGCTCCTGTCAGTAGAAGTTGCTGTCCAGTCACTGTAATTGATCTGATGACTACAAGTCAATCAATTGTGACCCTGACCAGTGCGAGAGTCTGCATCTCAACTAATCACCAAAGCAGAAATATTCTCAGAGAAGTTTACAGCGCAAGTCGGACCGCATTAGATGAGCTCTGTGTCTTCCTATTCTGAGCAGTCGACTCAAGAATGTCTAATAATATACAGAGAGAGAGAGAGTTTCCATAGGAACACCCTGTGAGGACAGACTGCATTAGAGTAACACAGATCTGCTCCCACTGTTACTGATACCTGGCAGTACATCCACATCTACACACACACACACACACACACACACACACACACACACACACACTGGAAAAAAAAGCCTATATGGAAACTCACACACATATACAGGATGTAACCACATGCAGCTTACACAACTCCCTTGATCATACATTTACACCTCTGAACGCACATACACTGCACGCATGCTGACACACAGGCACACACACCATGTCTCACTGCTCCTTGTTGCCTTTGAATCTTTCTTTCTAATGAAGAGTGGGGTGCAGATCAATAGCGTAGGATAGAACAGGCCACAGTGTGTGTTTCTGTGAGTGTGTGTGTCTGCGCGCCTGCATGTATGGCGTGGGCATGAGTTCTGTGGTCGTCTGGCTTTGGGTGCTGGGATTTTCAAGGCTAAGCAGACAGACAGACAGACCAGCAGGCATGTGCTGCTCCCAGTAGCATTTGATGTAGATCTCTCTTTTTGTTTCTCTTCTCTTTTTCCTTTTGGTCTTCTGTCTCAGCTACTGTAGAGCACAACATTATGTAAACAAAGGGTTTACATTCCTGTTGTTGCAATCCATCATACGACTGTAATATCAGAGCCACACTACAGATCCTTCTGCTGTTACACTCTTGCTTCTGTTTCTCCCCAGTTACACCCAAATCAAATCCTCCCCTCTCCTCTTTTCCTCCCTCATAATCTCTGTTTTAGACAATTACTCTCCCCTGTAGATCAATCAAGGACATTAACAAATTAATTAATAATCAATCAATCATTCTAGAACTCTCCTTCACCAAGCCTGCTTAATTTACGGACAGTTATTAAATGTTGGACTCTTTTCCTGGCTAAAGACAGAGGGAAGGAAGTTATATTTAGCAAGGTAATAGAGGAGCTCAAGAAGGAGAGAAAGAGAGACGAAGAAAGAGCGAGATTGATCGGTTTCTTACACCATAAGCTGAGGAGGTGTGAATCAATGTCCTAAGTGGAGACAGCAAGCTTTATTATTAATGTGCCACATTCATCAATTAATCACTGCAGCGATAGAAACCAAAGGATGGATTTTCATTCATTTTTCACTAAGCAGACAAAGCTACATCCTTCAATCTCTGTACACTTTCATTTTATGTCTGTCTTTTATTTTGTTTTGATCAATGTCCTCCTCCTCTGCTAATTTTATTTCCTTTTCCTTTCCTCCCTGTTTTTCACTGAGTGTAGTGTCACCTGTTACTTCTTGCCCCAAATTAACTCATCTTGCTTTGCCCACTCCTGCTCTGGTGGCTGCAGACATGTTTTTTGCTTCTGAGTCTGGTCAGTGGGGGTGGACTTCAGTGTTTTGTCTAAGGGGACTTGATTGTCTGTGTAGGTGTGTTGCTTCAGCTGTGTGTATGTGTGCCAGTGCAGTGTTGTGTCCTGGGTACTGAGACAAGCCCAGACAGATGGACAACCAGAGGGCTTTTTCCCATAAGCCCCTTCACCTAGTCTGCTACCTAGACTTTAATAGCACACAGCTACACAGTAGACAACAGAATTGTGTTACAAAAATGTAGTCCTTTGCAGCTGACTTGTTTTCATTGACATTTCAGAGATCTGTATTGTTCTCAAGGCAGAAAGGCTCCCTGCAGTCTCTGAGGCAAAGCATTTGTAAGTAGCTGGTGGGCTGACACCAGGCGGAGAGCTGAGGCAGCCACACAAGACCCCAAACATCTGCAGAAAGCCAGCATTTGTTTTACGCTCAAGTACTGTGGTGTTCTTATAGGTTTTGTGCTGTAACCTATTGTGCTTTATGGTTCTTAGCTGACGTGAACTGATGTATTGTTGGTGGATGCCATGTTACACAGTATAGTGACGCCCTAGTCTTGGCCTGAGCTGAGAGGAAGTTGAAGTGGGCCTGACAGAGGCCAGTGAGCATAGCTTAATATCCGTATGTCACATCCAGAAAATTAAGGGGGCTACCTTAAGAACCCACTCTTTCTCTACCCCTCTTGCTTCTCTCCTACTTCATGTTCCTACTTTGCTCTGCCTCCTTCTCTGCTGGTGTGGCACAAGGATAGTCATATTGCACAAGGGCTTTAAGAGGAGACTTGTGACTAAGCACTTAAGACATATGAGCATGCACACACACACACACAACTCATAAATGGCCTGAGCTCATCTTCAGTGCATACCGGGGGGACCCAGCAGACACTCTGCAGTCCACAGTGCCTCTTGTTGGGATCCCAAATAGAAACCTGAAAACCCTCAAAACCTTCAGATGCTGGCAGTCCACTGACGTCATTATGAGGTTTAAGAGACTTTACTAAGAACATCTGCTAAGCGCGTTCATTTGGGCCTGCACTGTCACAGCTCTAAGTGACTATGAACAACTTGAGAAAATTTGAATTTCATGCCCATCATGGCTTTTTTTTTCTGGATGTGGCCCAATTCCAATCCTGAAAAGGAGACTGATGGTGCAAGGAACATGAGCAGTCAGACAGCTATTAAAAACATACCCCCAGGTTGGCAAAATGTTTTTGGAGGACAATATAATAAAAAGACCATATGATAATATTGACTAAAAAGTATTGATTGTAAGCATCCATCACAGTTTAAAGACACACATCCTCATTCAACTTTGACCTACAGTACTTGCCGTAGCTGTGCGTTGAGGGATTATTACTGACATCTCAGATGTGCTCACCTTTGAGTTTGCCTCCAAATAAATTGATTTAAATAATGTAGCTAAGTTGTTGACCTGTTTCCAACTGGTCTGATTGTTTGACAGTGTCAAGGAAATTTCCTTGAATCACTGCTTAGCACATTTACATTATCGGGTTTCTCAAAACACAGCTCATCTCCCTTAAGAGAGTAACACATCTTTCCATTTCTGCCCCAGTTCCCTGAAGCAATATATTTCCACTGCACTGCTGTCGTCCCATTCGCGATAAAGCAAGATGGCTGTCTACGTTCTAGTATGAATAAAATCAGGAACCATCTGACCCGAGACTCTTTCGACTGCTGTTTAAGATGTAAACCAGGAGTTTTAGATTAAAATATGATCTAGTATCCAATGTCTTCTCTGTACTTTGTTCTCAAATTGTACAGCTTTGATTCTGAATGTTTCTTTTATCCAAAAGGTTTATGATTTTCC